AAAGTAAAGTAAAGTAAAATAAAGTAAAATAAAATAAAATAAAATAAAATAAATAAAATAATTCATTCTCAGGAATGTTCTCCAACACCACAGTTCAAAAGCGTCAATACTCTATCTTGCTTCTTTAAAGTCTAACTTTCACTTCTGTAGTATATCACCGGAAAAACCATAGCCTGCACCATTCTTAGACATATCCCAGCATCTGAACATCTTTTCCTGCGGCTTCATTGCTATTCTACCAAGTGCTAGTCTGCAACTCTTTGTCCTTCATTACTATCGCTTGCAGATCATTTGCATTTTCAGCTATCAAAGTAGCGTCATCGGTATAGTGCAGGTTATTGATGTTTCTTCCTCCAGTTTTAAAACCATGCTCATGTCCAGCTTCCCTCAAAATATATATACAGCATATAAGTTGAATGAATAAGGAGAGAGTATACAGCCCTCACTAACTCCTGGAACCAATCTGTTTCACCAACTTCTGTCCAGACAGTGGTTGCCAGTCCTATGTATAGGTTTCACGTGAGAACAATGAAATGTTCTGGGATTCCCATTTTTCTAAGCATATTCCACAGCTTGCTAAGATTTTTACTGAATTTTATTATTTCTAGACTGTTTCTCCAAATTATACTATCTCACAAAACAAATATAATTCAGAATAATAACTATTCCAACCCAGAATTGATATTGATAAAGCACTCCTTCTACCTTTTTGCGTGAGTTATTACTTAAAATGGTAAAATATTCAGTACTATTCCAAGTGCTAAATACTGTGGTACCTAACTTGATTTCTAATACCAGTTTAATATGCTTTCTTTTAAGCATAGATTTCAAGCTAGCTATGCAATCCATTCTTACAACTCTTACTAGCCAGGATTACAAATCAGGATTTGTTCTTTTGGTGGCAAAGTATCAGGGTTTGGCTGCCATAAGAAGCTTCTGCTTTTTTGGTTAGGCTACCCTCTCATCTAAGCTCGAAGAACAAGCAGAAATAAACAGACTACATGCATCTTGCTTAGCAAGATTCCCAACTCAATGGCATGTAAACACAATCAGTGGGTGTGAACCCAAGCCATCCGAAAAGAATTTCACACATTTCATTTCTTGTGCATCTATAATTTTGAACAAATACTCAAATGAAATGGTAATGCTGGCATACAAGAGCATTACCAACAGTAATGCTGGTAAAACACAGAATCCCACAAGGTAAGTAACCAATCAACAGATAGCAGAAATTCTTCATTTGCGTTATATGTGTTATTTAGTGAATAAGAACCTTGTGAATCTGGGAAAGAGTAGGTGGACATTTTCAAGATAAATTACACAGAACTATCTTGTTTTAAGTTATTTTAAGTTTAAGCACAACAATATTTAAATTGAGAGAATGCTATAGTCCAAATTCATGTTGATTTTAATTTCAGATAGGCCATGTTACATTTAGAAGAAAAGTGACGTTATTCTTACTCTTAATTTATAGGTCTTCAAATTAAGAATACACATAGCTCTGAGAAACAAAAGCTAAAGCCAAACTACATATTTCCTAAAAAACAACCCTCTTTTACAAAAGTAAACCACAGGAAGGCCTAGAAGTGAATAAACAACCAGGAGTAGACAGCTATGATAGCACTGTATTTTTCTACAAGTAACCTGGGACACTAGAGATTACAGGAAGATAAAAGCTGCAGCATACAAAATTTTAACAAAAATCTACTTCAGATGGACCAAGCAGAAAACCTCTAACAACTCCAATCTCTTGCAGAGCAGAGCAGAGAGATTGGAGAGGAAGGGATTACAAGAGAGAAAGCAGGCACACAATGGGGAATACACCAGGCTGTTTGTGTAGCATGCTCACAGCTGCTGGCACAAGCGCATTGCTTTTGATGTGTATTCCCCATTGTGTGCCTGCTTACTCTCTTGTAATCCCTTCCTCTCCAACAGATGTAAATGTAAACATTAATTCCCTTCTTGTTAATTATCCCAGCCCAGAGTGATTAGGAGGCAAACAAAAGCCAAGTGTGAAATTGATTAGTCTGGTCAGTTTTGAGCTGTGACTGGAGTCACAGTCATGGGATTTCCCACTTAGTGACCACTTCAAGACAGAGTAGCCTGTTGTGATCGCTAAATGAGGATTACCAGTAGAGATATGCAAAGCATTTTGAGGCCAAAACATTCTGTCCCTAAAAATATCTTTTTCCAACCTCACCAGAATTTTTGTGAAATTGCAACACTATCAGAAAAAATCAGAATGGAGTGTTTGAGGTTGGAACATTTCATCTTTGAAGTGTTTTGCACAGTTCTAGACAGTGGATTCATATGAAATTTTTAAGAATATGAAACATTTATAAATCACAAGGTAAGCAAACACTGGATTGCAGTCACCTAACCTATTGTTTTCTAAGAATCTATCTGGTGTCATACAGGTTATATTTCAGCTTGACACTTTATAACATTCTAGGTTCATTAAATGAAAATAAACTAAAGCATTAAATTAGGAAGGACAGGGAGCTTTGAAAGTACAAGGAAAGTGTCAGCAGTCACACTTTCAGTTCAGGTGCCCAAATATCCAGGAGTGATATCCATAAAGTCCACCAGCTTATGAGGATGCTGGGGAACAGGAGAAATCTTCTGATTACATAGAATTGACTCTGTACGTATAAAACTGTTTTTGAATATAATGTATCAAAGCTTTTTAAAAATAGGTATAATCTATTTAAACAGCAAATTACTACTGTTTGAATAACTGCTGCAGAGAAGTACATGTCAAGATTGCCATTTTCTCTATTATTCTTTGTACTTTCAGACAAACCTTTAGCTATTTCCATCAGGTATAACTTTAAAAATCTCCAAAATATAATTTGGGAGATCTCCTTGCATTCAGGTAATATAGAATTTTTATCACTAAATTTCCTAGAATAATTTAAGAACACTTTGAATCATTCTGAGAAATATCACAACAGGTAACAGAATCCATTTGAACTTAGCTGATCTAAGCTAAGTGAAATCTGGTTAGCAATTGGAAGTGAGACCACGAGGATATCCCAAATTTGTAGAATAAACACATTTTTATAGAAGTTAATTTTTAAAAATCCCTGATTAAGCCACAAGGGCAGGGATGTGTGAAATCAGCAACTCAGTTCAAAGAAGAAATTAAATTTCAAACACTCCCCAAATTACAGCTCCAACTTAGTTACACTAGCACATTGTGTAGAGGGTTGATATTTCGAGTGTCCTGCTGTGTTTATTCATAAGCAAGATTCACAAGAGTCAATGGGATTTATAAACAAACTTAAACACATTTACCTATAAATAAGTCTCAACAAGTATTATGGAACTTTTCCCCAGGAAAAATATGCATATGTTAATCCTTCTTAATGTTTCAGCCTATAACAGATCCAGAATGGCTGTTATATGATTATTTCAGATAGGCAAATCAGTCCAACCAACAGTTAGTTGAAAGACTTTCAACAAAAATCCCCATTCAGCTACTATAAACATTTTAACTAGATTAGTATCTGCATAGCTTGTACTAGTTAATGCAAAATAAACTATATGTGCATATACATATCTATGCGTGTGTGTGTGTATGCATGCACTCATGTACATGTATCTGAATATATCTGAAGACAAAACATAACTGTGATGTAATTTTTGCTGTTCTCATATTATTTTTAACTGTTTGTGAGTCACATATTGAGATTGGTAGGTATATAAATTAGGTAAATAAATAAATTAAATAACTAGGGAATTGTTTTGGTACAAAGCTGTTTTATGATTTTGACTTCCAAAATATAAATGAACAACACTGTCTGAGACAATGAAAAATACTTAACTAGAATTTACTCATAATTCTTACTTACTCTGATCAGCATAATTTTTTGCTTTCAGTTCAAGTTGCCGAGTTTGTGACTCTAAAGCTTCTACTCGTATCTGTATCTCTTTTTTTTCTTGTTCTTGAGAATCTTCAAATTCAATAAATTTCTGTGTCAAAAGACAAACATATTTATGAGTATGTGTAAATACATATTTTCATATATTAAAAAAAACATGTAGAAGCTGTTTAACTTC